AAAGTAACGGAATAGAAAAGGACGAGGAAGCAGACTGGTTTAGATAATCGAGTTTGTGGAACTTCTATATAGAAACTTAACATATTAAATTAGTGAAATGGTCAATGCGCGAACGCAAATGACCGCGTAATAAATTCTCCACTCGAGAAAGTCCGATGTGGACCTTTCGTAGGCGTCAACGAGGACGATGTGCAATGTCTACGCCTCAACCTAGAGCAGTCACGTTGTTGATCGTGATTGCATCCATGGGAGGTAAGTATGATTTAACTATCGTTTTCTTCTTCATTATATACTGACATAACAAGCATAAAATTCACAGTAGACTAATCAAGCAAAAGAGATTATGATTCATCAACAACGATTCTTTTTTTTCTTGTTCTTTTATTTTTATCAAAATTTCGAAATTACGCTTAATACTTTCGAAATCTTATAATCTATCACATTGAATATATTCATATGAATAATCGACATTATACGAGAAGAAATTGCTTAAATAAATGAATGATTTCACATCGAAATCATTTTGCTCAATTGAATTTATTAGCATAAAAATGAATTATTACTGAGAAAAAATGTTCTGTTAATTATAATCGTTCATATTTCGAAATCTATTCTTTGTTTGATTCTATCGAATTTTTCAGTTGAGAATATTTCGGAATTAACATGATCAGATTCAACAAGATATGGAATTAAAAGTATTACTTTTGAAAAGTTCTTTGCGATTTAATTAAGCAGAAATACGAGCTATGAGATTATTTCAAAACAAAAAGAAAAAAGACAATACGATTGAGAGAAAATTTCAGGGTATTTATGATCAATATCACATATTTCATCAATGCAATCGGAAAGTTTTAGAAAAGCTTTATTTCATTGAGGTTTTATTAGTCGAAACAGTTTTCGATGCAAAATTTGAAAATCGATCCCAAAAGTATCCGATGATTCTCTGTCTGACATAAGGTCAAAAGTTTCTATTTTACTGAAGGATATTTGAAAAGATCAGCTGGTTTTTAGACATTTTTATTACTCAACAAAAAAACGTTATTTCTCATGGAAATCTCTTTGAGCTTTCGCAGGGATTGAAGTTCTTTTTCTTGATGTTTTTTATTTAAATATGATCAATCTACTTGCAAAAAACAGACGACTATAAACCTTTTTTTTCTTAAAGTTGAAGATTTGAATTGTTGTTAGAATGAGGCGATATTTATTATTTGAGAGTAAAATAAATAAACATAATCCAAATTGTGTTTTTTGGGTATGGGAGTGTGTTTTAGTGACGGTATGAGTGAGTGGAGATTTGATTGTCTTATTATCACGGACACCCACGCCCACACCCTCTTACTAAAGTCAAGTGAGAGAGAACGTCGAAATGAAAATTCTAAACTACCACATAAACAATAAAAATAGAACAGGATTATATCTTTACGAAAGTAAAATGTAATTAATTGTGCAATTGAGACTGGGACGTTTTAAATAAAAAACAGTAAACAGCCGCAACAGGAGGAGAAACGTAGAAAAGGGTGTGATTGTGGGTGTTGATTTGCCTATTTTCTTTTGCAGCAACACACACCGACACTCACACCCTTCTCACGATTTGCCAGTGCTTCGACATCAGAACACACTAGTAAAAAAAACACCAAAAACCATCGATTCACGACCGCTCATCGAAAACTGCTTGTTTGTCAAATGCAGCACATGTAAGCATAGTTTTCAATCTGAGACCAGTCCAGCAAAAATCAATGTTAAAATGACTGAGTTCTCAGTGATACAAAAGTTAACCGTGATGTTATTGCATGTAAAGTCATTTGCTTTTCTTATAGTCATTGTCTTGATTCCTAAGTTAATCATTTCATTTTCTTTTTTTCTGCAAGATTCTTCTTTTCAATCAATACTAATCTTCTGTAAATAATATAGTTTACTCATGTTAGGACAACCAACAAAATGATATTCAGAAATAAAACATTGCATTAAATTCGTCTCATTTCTATCAATTAATTGAATTAAAACTTGTTCCACTAATAATTATCAAATACTTTTTACGCACTCAAATGTGCCCTATTCGATGAAGACTGTTCACAATTTTATCATGATCTAATGAATTATTTTCTTTTCACATTGCTAATACTTTATTGAATATTCACTTGTTCATAATATTTTTCTTAGTCAAGAGTAATGTCGCTAATATAAGAAATAATCAACGTACTTGATTCTTATAGTGATGTATTAACAATTTATTTAATTATCTTCAGGAAGATTTTGCATAATTCTTAAGAAGAAAATTTCACTCTACATTCAATGATAACACCATCTGTGATACAACTATTTCTTTGTAGAATTATCGAGCACACCAGATAATTTTTAGATATATATGAGTGAATTACAACTTTTTGGTACGATTGATATGAAAAACTGAAAATAGACCTAAGCCATTTTTGAGCAAAGCATTTTATTCCAGCCTAGGCCTGTATTACATAGCAATAGTTTCCCAATACTTTACCGTATATTCGCTGAGATGCCATTTACATCAGTGTAAATGTACCCTAAAACACGTTTATTTAATGAAAAATGTCATTTTACATTGTATTATGTATTGTAAATTCCTCAATAATAGAAAGAGATAAATAGCTGAGTTTTTAACTGGTCATACAACTCTAATATGTGCAATGTCAGTAAAAGCTTGAGCGAAAAACAAATGAACCTTTCACGAGATATTCACAAAATAATTTCCAAAAAGTTCTTCTACAAAGTGAGTCAAACTCAACTTTTTAGAAAAGCATAGATTTTTTTCAACGAAAAGAAAAGTCGCTCAGAAGAAGTTTTATTTTCCGTTCAACGGACTTTCTTTTGGATACGTTTAGCTCTGTTCAACTTATAGCCAAAGAGAGAAAATCGAAAAATAAGGTCGTTCTATACGAAAATGAACAAGTGTCTGTAATTAAGTATTTGGATTGAATGGGCGTAGAAAGAAATACAAAAGATACATCATTCAACAGTATTTTTCAGGTTGTACAAAATGGACTATTTGTTATATATTTTTTCTTTTCTTTCATACTAAGAAAATTTCGTTTTCCTAGCATATCTTCCTCGAAAATACAATTTTTTCACCATATAAGCCTTATACCTCAGCAACAGTATTAGCTGGAGAACTGGAATTTTGTGTGTACGTGAAACATTCAGAGAATAGTAGAATATAAAAAAACTGTCTAAATTGGTTAATGGGAAAACAAGTTATTAGTCAAATACAGCTAAAATCTCAATTGGACCAAAAAGTCGCAATTCACTCATATACATCTATTTAATAAGAAAAGCTTGTTAGCGCAGCCGCTTCGGGGCTAAAATATGGAACTCACGTATGACCTTTCGAGTAATTCTACTAATACAGAATACGGAAAGTGCGAAATCATTGCTTTTTTTTAAATTCTTTTTCCTTGCTTGCTGATGTCTGAAATGGGTGGGGGGGGGGGCTGCAAAAATCTACCCCTTAAACGTACACTCACCATTTTCTTCGAAAATATATGTGAGTTCCACAAAAACCCTTAAATATAAAATACAACAGACAAAACAAATTTCAATGCTAAGAAAAACAAGGCATAAAAAACTATGAAATGATAATAAAAATGCTTCGAAGACTTTTTATTTTGCAATAGAAATTGTTTTGATAGATTTTATAGAGCTTTCGACGGCACATCTTTTGAAAAAAAAGCAAGATTTTATCGTTTGTCAATGCAGAGGTATTCGCAAAATAAGCTATATTGCAAACGTTTTGGGATACTCAGTATTTCACAGTGTTTAATATTTTGGATATAACATCATCATTTCTCAATGAAAGCCAAAATTTTTTTTAATTAAAATGATTAAGGAAAAAAGTTCTAAAAGTTCCGATATAATAAAAAGCCTTCTGAAAACGCTTTGTCTTTTTTGTGATTGATTGTCCATGGAAACATTCTAAAACAACAATTTCATGTTGTTGTTTTATATGCCGTTTTTTTCGTAGCATTGAACTTTGTTTATTGCTATTGTATTTTATATTCAAGTTCTTTTCGTATTAAACAGATATATATATATAGATATAGATAGTACTTGACTTGTACTATACATGCATATAGACAAACTGAATTAATGTTGTGTAGGTTTGATCCACGATTTAAAACAAAAGTGTTGTACCAAACTTTTGATCCACACTCCATATAATAGGGTTTTTTATTAAGATATTTAATGCTTATGAAGTTATATGAAGAAATGAACCATTTGATAATTGATTAACATCAGTTTTCTTATTGAAAACGAATAGAAAATCTTTGATCACTTCTTCTAAAAATTAATAATCGTCGAAAAGAACTTCTATAAAAAAAAAAAGGAATTAAATCATAAAACTATTTGTAAAATAAAAATAGTCATTTGATTTTCTTCAATTGGCATAACTAAAGACTTGTTATATACAATTTTTTCATAAACTTCTCTATAAGAACTAGTCATTTTATTGACAAAAGAATATTTAGGGGTGTGAGAGTAAGTTAAATGTGAGGGGAGTGAAGTAGGGTGGAGTATGGGGATAAAGGAAGAAAATGTCCATCCTTATGTATCAGCATCTAAAGTCACACACCTCAAGTTAGATGCAGACGTAGAGTTTTTATTTGTTCTTCTCAATAATTTCTTTTAAATTAGCAGACAAAATCGATCGTTGATGATTGAATGACGATGGTATATTTGAACATGGAAGATAATTATAATAGGTAGCCAGTTCCTTTTGATAATTGTAGAATATATACTGTCGTACTTCATGCATCACTTCGGTTGTTGATTGAGGCGTTAACCAAGAATAATGTTGTGCAAACTCGCTATACGGGTAATATACGCCATCTTTTTGAAATCGATTACCAGCAGCGACATGGTTCGAGCAAGATTCATAACATAATTCTCTAGCTTTAGATTTAACATCATCTGCCCAATGTGTTCCACCTAATCCACCAGATTGATGATCGCAATCGTGTCGTCTTTCATTTTCATCCAATGAACTTGTGTGCCCTGATGAACGTTTACATGGCATTTTACACATTGGACATGGTTCATTGCATCTCATTTTGACTGCTTCATTTCTTTGATTATTAATCATTTCATCTAGTGTATTCTGTAATATATACGTTGTTTCTTCTGCGGTCAGCTCAATGACACTTTCGTTTACTGTCGCATCGAATAGATTATTTTCTATTTCTTTCCATATTTCGATTGGTTCATCATCACAACTGCTGTAATTTTCAATATTAAGTGTTCGAACTGCATCAGCAAATATTACCGGCAATTTGTAGTTGTTTAAATTTTCTATAAGTTCTTTTAAGAAGAATTGTGTACGTCCTCGAGAAATTTTTGATTTATCTTTTTCATTTTCATCGCAAATTTTATTTTTCCATGCCTGTGTTTTAATAAATGTAGAATTAAAAGCTGATTTCAATGAACTGTGATACTCATTCCACTGATTTTCTACACAATTAATAATCTTCTGCTGAATTAATTGATCAACAATTTTTTGATAATGTGCTGACGAATGAGCAACATAGTGAATCATTTCATCGACTTCTCCATTTTCAATCAGCTTCAATAAATCTAAGTCTGCACGTGCCATCAATACTCGACTATTTTGCACCCATGCTTCACTTTGTAAATCATGAACAATGTATCTTATGATCTTCTGAGTTAATCCAGCTCTATCATTCTTCAAAAGAATAGCTTTCAAATCTGATGTGAGTAGCTTGACACCAGCAATGCCTCTGATTGTGTTACAGTAGAAATTCCATAAATCATCTTGTGCATACTTCAAGCGTACCGATATTGAGTTATGTCGTTCCCATTCATGTTGTTTTTCGGTCAACTGTTGAATTAACAACGAGTAAACTATTTGGTGCGCATGTTCTAGAACAGATTTGCGATTTCCACCATAGTCACATAGTTTTTGACGCGTGTGATTAATTGCTTGTTGTACAAGATCGTCGGAATAGCGTTTGATGGGCGTTAATAAATTCTCGACAAACGATACCAATTCAAGGATGAACTGCTGCGGTTCTTTTTCAGACCTGTTTTTGCCAAAAATGCCTTTAAAAAATTCACCGATATTGTCAAAAAACGATGATGATTTTGGTCGCATCTTCAGTTCATTATATTTGAGTGTGTAATTGCATTCATGCCCGATTCCGTTGCTCTCATACAAACGCTTAACATTTGATTCGACCTGTTCTGGTGGATGATTTCTCCTAGCATCACTAAGTATATCGTCATAAATCTGACTGAATTCTTCTCTTTGTTGTGATTCATTTTTTGATAAGGCCATACGTTGTTGTTCATTTTTATCTTTAAATGAATTCGTGATATTCTTACGTATTTGTTGTTGATAATAAATCAATTTGCTATCATAAGATAAACGGTTTGTCACCAGTTGATGTATACGGGAATTGTTATGAGTCTTTTGATTAGTGTAAAATGCCATCCAATTATCTTTAGTTCCTGTATACCATAATTGATAACGCTAAAATGTAAAAATTTAGAAATATTATATATTGTGTTTAGTAACTTATCAGTAAACTCTATAGTTCAAAGTGCAACAATAACAGTTGAGTGTGAATATGGATGTTAATGGATAGAATGTCCACACCCATTCATTCACACCCACATGCAATTTTCTCTGTTTAATTGAGAAGACGGCAACATATAGATTTGAAAAGGAGCCACAATTTTTAATTGGATCTCTGCCCATTTTGAAATATAATCTGTAGGAAGCTATTTTGACAATGAAAAAAGTTTTCGTCAATTTTCGGTCAAAACTAAGACAGTAATAGCTCATGATCAACACAAAATAATTACACAAGCCACGGGGTTTTCTTTTAGCCGACCAAAACTCATGCCTCACGCATTAGAACCGTCAGACAACATGCTTCCTATCCTAATTGTGCTCGAACTCATATGAAAGAACAGGTTTTTGACCATGCCGAACATGACATGAATATTTTTTTTCCTGTTATTCAATTATAGATAGGGTCATTATAGATAATAATTAAGAAGACAACTGGTATTTGCTGTCATCTGGCTTGAAAACACATGACCACAGTTTAGTGAATTCTCAAATGATTGAGCTGAGTTTTAAGTTTTCTAGGAGCTTTCTGGGAAGATAAGATAGGTTCTACGTGTTTGTATCATGCTGAGAAGTGTGTGTTAATGTAGTTATGAACGCTTTAGCTCAATCATTGAAGCACTGACTAAGTCGTTACCGTCTATTTAGAAACCAGATGGCAGCAAATACTGGTTGTTTACCTTATCAATATCTAATGAGCCTGTCTCGGTTAAAATTCAAAAATAAAAATTCCAGCCATGTTCAGCATGGTTGAAAAACTTCGTTTTCATATGAATACGAGTTTAACTAGGATAAAAAGGATTCGCGTGAAGGGAAAATCAGCAGGCCCCCGAACACTACCTGCTCCTAACCTGTTTCTATTCCAACTCCGACGTCGATAGTGATAGCTTCACCTTCATATCTAGGAAATAATCTTTTTGGTCAACCCAAAGCAGTATCTAACTGTTAAAAATGATCGAACTTTTGGTGTTTCTATTGTACGTGTAATTGTTATGATGTAGGATACTTACAATAAGGCTATGCTAAAATCCATTGCATTAAATTCGATTCGATCTAATATATTTCCAATAGGCCAGACTATATAAGTTAACACAGCAAAGTTAATTTAAATAGTGTAGCAGCAGTGAAAATTTTGATGATTTCTTGTTTTCTTGTCTATGACAACTAAACTCATACTCGAATATATATACGAAAACTGAGCACAAAGTGTTTGAACACATAGGGAACGGGGAGGTATAAGGCTAGAAATCGACCGACAAAGATTTTTCTGGTTTATCATTTTAGAACAGATATAGAACGATAGATCTCGACAAGATGAATATTTCGGAGCTTTTTAATGAAGCTGATATCGTTAAGTGATACAGCGGTATGTTGTTGTAAGCTTTTAAGGAATACAGACACGTGCTCTTTAGTTGTATTATGGATCTTTAAACTGTAAAACGATCCGTAAAATAAAAGAACATGAGTGGAATAATAGGAGACGTGATAACTAAAATGCTCTTTTTATTTTCTACAAAGTCAAAAGAAGCCGTTTAAGGAATTTCAACCTATAAACAACCTTTACATGATCATTTGACTCTGCATAGAATGAAACACATCTATTTTAAATGTTAAACTTTATTGAGCTCGCTTTTCTTATTTCATATTTTGCGAAAAGTTTTTAAAATATATATTACTGTGGTGAATTCACAAGGGTCTTCGATTCTCCATCGCATGATACTATGCCAAGCATATTCGGTTGGAACTATATTTACCTTTCAAAAAAAGCATATGACATCGATCTGGTGACTCGACGCTATGCTCATGTCTGTTACTATAACCTTTCTAAAAACGCTCGATTCTCTGAATTTCTGTCGATAACTATAATAATGCTAACACCACCATACCTCGTCTTTCAGATCTTCCAAAACTTGTTTGTTAATTTCAGCTGCTTTGACATCAACCATTCGTGATAGTTCTGCTTGATAATAACCTATTTTTTTCCTACAGTAATCACTTTGCTGTTGTTCATTGATTCTTGTCTGTTGATCAGGCAATTGTTCGCCGATAATCTTTGTCTCAATTTCATCATATGTTTGTGAGAACAAACCAGCTAATTTTGTACGTTGTGATATACAGTATGCTTGTAGTTTATCGTATGTCAATCGTTCCATAACTGATTTGAATGATAAAGTAAAATCGACTGACATTATGCATTGCCATATTGAATCAATATAAGGAACAAATGTACTAAGTTCTCTTGCTTTCCATTGTTGTCCATCAGAACTTCTCGATACAACTCGTCTGTAGAGATATTCATTGAGTTGTGTTACTAAATCACCGTAATCAGTATCAGGTACATCGTCTGGTGGTACATCGGATTTTTTTACTTTTCCTAAAAATCTGATATCACTTTCTTTCCCACCGACGTCACCATTCTCAGCTTTGACACGAAAATCACGAAACAACACGTAGTTTCCTATTTGATTGTCTTGACTTCCGGAATCTTTTTGCAACTTGCCAGCATTATTTTTTAAATCAATAAACATTGCTTGAATATTGTTAACAAGTTTTTTTGTATCATTCATGTCGACTCGTGTATAGACAAAAAATATTCGCGTACTTAATTGAGATGTTGTTGATGCTGCAAGTTCACTTTGTTGATAGGCTAACATAACAATCGGAAGTACTTCACGAGCAGCACTGTCATCTTCACTGTTGATCAATATAATTGTTGCATCAGCAGGTAATACGGCAAATGTTGCCAAACGATTATCTCGCCATGCCGAGTCGGCCAAGCCTGTATATTCTGGAGCACGAATACCTTCAGTGTCGAGTATCAAAACATAATCATATTCGGGACGATTTTCGGCTTTTAATAATTGAATATTAACACCTCGTGTACACATTCCTGCACTTGTACGAAAACGTGTACCAAACATAAGATTCAACAGAGTAGATTTTCCCGTACTTTGTACGCCAAGTACGCTCAAAATAAATATTCGAATTGGATTTTTCGTCGATTTAGAATCACGTTGTTTCATTAGTTGTTGTTCAAGTTGTGAAAAGACAGCTTTGATCCAAGTTTGTTCGAGCATGCCTGCATCACCATCTAATAATTCTAATGCAAAACCATCAATCAGATGTTTTGCAGCCATTGCTGGAAAATCTGCGTATCGTGTTGGATTACTGGCATATAAATGACATATTTCTCGCCACAAATGTTCAATTCCAACGCTGCTATTGGTAAACAAACGTTTCGCTTCAAAATACGCTTCTTGCTTTGAGTGATTTTGCTGATCACGATCATATTCATTGAAAGCTTCATCTTTTCGGTCAATTAATGTTTTCATTGCTGATCGTGAATGTAATTCAATTTGTTGAGTTACTTGATGTATGGTCAGTGTACGAAGTTGACGATTTTCAAGTGCTAGAACACCCGTAAAACATTTTATCAATTGATTTTTTTCAACATTGTACGCTTTTTCACGACGTTCCTTCTGATAACTATCAATTAAACGTTGAATTCGTTGTTGTTCAACATCATTATTTTTGTTTTTATTTTTCAATGCTATGTTTTCTGATTCTTTTACAAATATTTGTTGTAAAGGTAATTCTAAAAGACGAACCTTAGAGTAATCTTGTTCTCGTATAATGTTTTCCGTGTCAATTAAATGGATAATTGTCGAATAGTATAAATCAGGACAAATTATTGATTTTAGAGAAAAGCGTTGGCTATTATATGATTCATCCAATAATAACTCTAACAGAGAATTTTGAATATCACTAACTGTTTGAATGATACTACTTGATAAATGAAGATAGCCATCAACAGTGACATCTAATTCACTTTTTTGCGTTGCTGTTTTCCATGTGATTACGCGGCATTCATCTTTTAAAGAAGATAATGGATGAAAACTCGCTTTACTCGAAGGTTCTTCTTCTACCATGAGTACATCTGCAAATCGATGAATGTACGACCAGATCGATAAATAATTTCCAATAACATTAAGAACTAATACTTCTTTATATTTTTCACTGCTTCTTTCAGCTGTTGAACATGGAACAAAACCGACACCTATTTCAGCAATGCATTCATTCGTAGACATACTCTTGACATCAGATGACAGTAACATAAGGGAATGACAGGAGAAAACTTGTTTCATCCATTCACTACTTTCGCTTTGTTTCAATGGTCTCATCGAGAGTATAGCTATTCGTAACAGTGAACAATCACTGGACAGATTGTATTCTCTTTGTTGTGATAGTTTGGTAGGAACAAATGATAAAGCATCGATTAGATAACTGTATGCTGGTGCCTTCAAATTATTTGATGGTAATAATATGGGAACAGCTGTTCGTCGTTCGAGCAGTAAACGAAATAGTTCAATTTGACTGAGTAGATCGGAATAATTGAGTATATGAATTAAAATATCGTATATTGTTTGATATTGCAAGGATGAAGTTTTAGGGTCGGATGCACATGATGCCGATGCTACAACTATTTCGGATTTAATTTCAGGTGTTGTTGCCATTGTTTCCACAGGTTTTTTCTTTCCCCAGCCTTTCAATGTTCGACATATATCACCTGTACCTGATGTTGTTGATGTTTCTGAAATAGGATCGATCTTTAATCTGTGACGTAACGTATCCATGAATCGTTGTACAGGTTCCCAGGTGAGTGCAACTGGACGATCAACTAACCAGTGGGTATAATTGTATAACAGCTTTCTATTATTGTCATCGTCTTTCATCGATTTATTATATTCCGTGAACATGAAAGGTGCGACTGATGTTTGTCGAGTGAGTTTTTGCGCCGATTCCTTAGGAAAAATATCATTCATAGCAGCAAGTAACGATTCAAGGCCTTCATAGGTAAGAGGTCCTACAAATCCATCCATATCGTTGGACCATCCATATGTAACTAAGAGGCGTGTGAATGGTTGCAAATATTGTACGTCATTCGTTTTTTTGGTATTTTTCAAACTTCGACTGATAATCAATGAAACTTCTGTGGTAAAATCAGGAGCTTTGCTATATTTTTCACTCATTAATTTCTCGAGATGCGATGGTAATTCATTCAGTGGAACAATAGGTATACTGAATATGTCGCAACACGAACCATCGTCACTTTGTGTCTTCGTGTGACTTCTTCGAATAAGGGCCAAAATTTCCGGTTCCAATTCTACTTGTTGCTGGTATAAGTCTTCCACTTTCTCTTCTGAAAATACATTTGCAAGTACCGGCAAAATGTGATTCACTTTGTTTTCGTCGGAACAGAGAGCTAATGATTTTAATATGGATTTCATCGTATCATGTTGGAGTAGTAATTTTAAGAAATCTTCTTGACATTCATTACTCCATACAACAATTAATTGAAAAAGTGCAATGACCTATGAAGAAAAGATGATCAAGCATTTCAACCAAAGAATTTTAAGTGAAATCTTTCAAAACAAAACTAAATTAATAAAAGGAAATTTAAAAAATTTAAATTCTAATAAATCATGCCCATTTTCCGAAAAGTGACTATTATCAATCGAATAAGATATACTCATTCTCCTGACCTAACCAAAAAAAACATGAATGTTTTATTTACGAATTCTAATGGACTTTTTGCTATCTTTAAAAGCCAGAGATACCATCGCGATATCTTGATCTTTTCTATTGTGAAGGATTTACTGATAGAAAAAAAAAGAGAAACTCTGACTGCATCTTTCATTGTGATGGACTTTGCCCTTTCGTTACTGATGAGCATGTTGACTCATCAACACCATATATTCACTAATCATTGAATTCCGTCTACATCTACGTAGTCACTGTAAACATTCAGAGATTTCTTATAGGTCATTTTTCTCGCTTCTAAATAGGTATTTTCTCAATTCGAATTGGATTAGAATGGTTCAGTGTGGCTCAGAATGGACACGAACACAAAGTATTTCTTCCAATCGTAATTTGTGTCTCGAAACAGCTCGAAATAGGATAGTACAAACTCAGAATCTCAAGCTCTATCGATTTGTGTAAGTGTCTAGTCAAACGATGCTCAGATTGAGTCAGAGTGTATAATACCTATAACCGATATGAAAAGTCTAATCGATAAAAGAAGGCTTTCATTGAACTTGTTCATTGAATTTTTCAAATTTAACATTTTAGTAAAATTAATCGAATTCTATCTAGCAATGCATAGAAATAGGAAACAATTTGTCGTATTTTTCAAATGTGTGTACCTTATAATCGAGTGATCAACGCCGTTACGTTCTTGGAAAAAGAAAGGAAAGACGTTATTAGAAATTTCCATCATCTTATACTATTTTAAGTTTGGCGTAATTTCATGTTTTTTTATTTTTATAAGATCTCAGTAAATGGTATGGAAAATTAATAAGAGAGAGAGAGAGAAAGAAAGCGGAATAATTGTGTTTCCAATTCAAATAACTAGTGCCCAATAATAAATGTCCCACTTTTGTATTTCATATTTTTACTTCTAAATAAATTTCATTGAAAAATCGAATCTACCGCAAGATACATCATGAAAATCTCTACTATTTACAAAGTAAAAATTATTTAAATCGTATAGTTTTTGTTTTCACAATAAGCAGAATTCTGTGCCACCCATCTCGGCCAGTGTGAAGAGACCGTTTCTTTTTTCTTTTTTCATAATTTCGCCAGCTAATATACCTTCTTTAGACAAAACAAAATATAGTACACGGTCCAGCATGAAAAACTCTACAAACTACAAAATAATGCTTGCTTTAATTGTGTAATTTTGTTTAAAGAAAAAGCAAACTTTTTGTATTAACAATTTGTCATGATGTGAAAAGATCATTTGTTTCTAAACGAGCAAGAGACTCTTTTTTTCATCTTTTTATCGACTAATACGCTTATGTAAGAATAACAAAATATCGTATACATGAAAAGCGTTACAACCCACGAAAACTCATTTTAGTTGCGTACTTTTTGTTTGGTAAAAAAGAAAAATTCTGTGTGACCACTTCTCACAGCGTCGAAAATTACTATTACAAAATTTCGCTTTTTTTAACAAAAAGGTACACTATTTAAATAAACTTTATGTTGTGGATCGCAGAGCTTCTTGCATTGCATCTTATCTTATATGGCTTTTAAAGAAAAAGGGCATTTAGAGATTACAATATGAGATGCAAATCTGGGCCATTTATTATAGACCATCCGTTAAATAGACACTATTGACATAATGCAGAAAGCATGTACAGATGCTACCACATATCGTATAAATGCATCAATGGATCCATCTATTGTAGCTCTTGCAGCGTTTACAGTCAGTAATCAATTAACGTGATAATATTACATACTTTATTTAGAAGCATACTTGATGATAATTCATGAACGTCGAAATCATTGAAAAGTTGTTTGATTTCTGTTTCAAGCATATCGAATTGTTTTTTACTTTTGGCATGCATCGGAACTTTCATTAAGTTCAGACTTATGGTACCAATCGCAGAATAGTCATTATATCGTACGCGTTGAATTTCACTTTGAATCAATAAAATATTATCATAATCTTGTGCTTCAATTAGCCATTGACGCTTGAGTAAATTAGCTGCTTCAACCATGTGTGGCTGAGACGAATATCGCATCAGAATAATTTCCCAAATCGGAATAAATGATGATAATGAATCGCGATCAATTACGTACCACGACGAATTAGATGCACGCAGTGCCTGTACAAATAACTCCGGATTAGAGCACGGAGGACCGATACATTGAATTTTTCGGTTGATTGTTGCTTGACGTCGAATTTTCTCATTTCCTTGTTGATTCGTATTGGTCTCAAAGTCTTCAACAGACACGCCAACTCCCGCACTGAATCCTGCATATGATCCACCGGCACTGATCGATGAATTCATTGTTTTTGCTGCTAATGATTCTAATGTTTGTACATCGGTGTCTTCTTTCGTTTCAACTGTGACTATGCGCATGAATATTCCTCCAATATGCTGAATTCCGTCACTCACATGTGAATGAAATTGACGTAAAAAATGTCGTGCTTTTTGCGAAGTATTAACGTCAGCCAACGCATGTTCGGCTTCAGTTGATAGTTTCATTTCTTCTCGTGGTATTCGAAAACATTTTATCGGTACCACCATATAATCGACTTGAATAGCTGTTGTTGAATGTATCTTCCTTTTACTCGATGATGTTGAAATATTCTGATTACTTTGATCCAAAGAAACTTTTGTATGGCAACTCCAACCAGATGCTTCTATATGGGCAGCAACAGTAATACCACTGGTTTTTATTGTCTGCATGAAATGATTCGATGCTTCAAGACTAGTAAATGTTTTCTGCGTCGATTCAAACGGTAGCGATGGACTGAGAAGCGGACAATAGATAGGGCTGGACAGCAAAGGTCGTTGTGCTTTTCCTCCTAATCTTTTCGGATCAGTTAATTGTATTCCATATAGTACGATACCACCACTAACATGACCAATAATATCTTCATCCGTCTTGTAAGCTGTAATCGAACCAACACTATATTGATGATTTGCACTGTTCAAATCGCTAAGAATTGAGTTTAATAATGCGTCAGGTTTATTCAATTCATCTTCAGTGAATCGCCAATTGACATTGAGTTTTGACGCAATATCGCTCAATTTCACTTGTAATTGTTCTTTGCCATTTGCACCGAGTCGGTCTAAGTTCTTGCGAATACTTTCAACAATTTTAATTGCTTCTTTTGTTTGCTCTTTTCGTTGAATCAAATCTTTGTCGTGTTTGGCCGCCTCTTCTTTACCCTTACGACTCTCTTTTTTTATCATCTGAGTTAAGTTTGCTTTTAATCTGTTATGTTTATCTTGAATAACATTCATTTTTGCCATATTATCTTTGACGTCGTTCAATTCTTTTTTCATGGCAACTTGATCTGTTTGCATTAGTGTTTTGACATTGTCATCAGTTAATTCATCAAGTCGATGAAAACCTTGATTTTCTAAGTCACTAGATACCGATAGTGATATTTTGTATTCTTTCATTTTTGTTCGAAGTTCGTTTCCATCCATCCACACACTCTCCATTATTTGTTTTTGATAATCTGAGACTTTTGAAAGGTACTCAGAAGTTAATTTATCGTATGATAACGAACGAAATGATGATGGAGTAGAATGTGTCTTACAAATAGAATCAAGTATATTGTTCGATGTTTCATCATCGATCGGCCAGTCAAACTTAAGAAATTCATTTCTTAATTGCAATCTTGATTTTAGGCTTTGAAGAAGAGATGGTTCAATTTTCAAATTTGCCGATTGATATTGATCGAAAATAGCCACTGTTAAACCATTTACTGTTGTAATGAAATTTAATACGAGTAATAACAATTTTTCTGTTGCCCTCAGAGATTGAAACAAATGAACAAGTTGATGTTCAACAGCTCGATGGCAAACAGATCTAATTTGATGCTCATCGCTGGCAGTTAATTGGACTTCCGAATGTTCTCCAGACGCTAACGCATATATTTGTCTGATATTTTGTGCTAAATCATTATCATCAACATCATTGCTAATTAATTGCTTCCAATCAAACTATATAGCAAATACAAAACACATATTATTTATCTTGTAAATTAAAATATTTCTATGGCTTTTTTTCTAGAATATTATGTCAATTAGTCATCGGAGCCCTTCCTACTATTTGAACGTATCTTGTGTCTTGCAGAATTTCTACAGTAATCTTCATCCATGAAACTACTCAAAAATGCTTTGAACGCAATTTCTAGCCATTGAAAACGTCAGACATGACGAAATCTCGAAACTGCACATGAAGATGCTTGTTTTAAGAATGATGATTACTCACGAGTATAATAAGCATTATATTATGACCGAATTTAGACAAAATTAAATGAAATATATCCTTCGAAAGACTGAGAAAAATCAAGAACTGGAATTGAAACATTTTTTGTTGTCGTTGATACTAAAATTCTCTTTCAGAAAAAAGAACAATTCAAATTTTCCTATTCTAGAATTCGTTACAATATGGTACTTACCTTAGGAATATCTGATATACATGACATAATATTTTCTTGACTGATTCATATATGCATTCAATTCAGGTTTTTTTTCTTCATACATAAACTTCATGTACACAGAGAAAGCAGTGGTCATTATGTTATGTACGAATAAGCTAAACATTTTGACAATACAGTCCGCTACAGGGTCTCTATATACAGGTTGATTACGTTATTTTTGATAGTTTCGCTCGCTTTGCTCTATTTTCTATAAAACCTTAGGTATTTCTTATTGTGATATATTTGAATAGAGCGTGCGTTACTCTATTGATCTATGTAGTTGTTATTTTATTTTATTCATATTTCTTCGAAAAATTTTTATAAACTCTAAGAAGTACTGAACCAAAACTTTTGCAAGTATGTATTTCCGTTAAATCAAAATTATTAATGATGAAAATTGAATTAGATGGTAGACATCTATTCAGTTTAATCGTGCAAAAAGGTGTTCCTTAGAAGTGATTTGAAGTTGAGTAGAAAATTAGACTTTAATGCTAAAATTTGATCCTTTTTCTATATCTATGGGAAAAAGATTATACTACTTCGCCAAAAGTCACTTCTACGACTAGATTTAAACCTGGCCAAAATTATATGAATCGATAGTCTACTCAGCTGTGTGTCACAGACAATAGCTAAATGATTGAACAGTAGTGGAATATCATCTATGAAAAAATTCGCAAAAATGTTTCTCAATAAACCAGCGAATTTTTTAATGAAAACAGGAAATAATCCTATTAAAAATTTATAATCATATAGAGTAAAGAATGGCCTATTATCGTATATAAAAATAAAGAGTTTCAATTGCTCAGTAAATAGTGACCTTCGAAAAAAATATTCCAGGTATGATCTGAAACTTGATTCCATTA